CTCTCTCTCTCTCTCTCTCTCTCTCTCTCTCTCTCTCTCTCTCTCTCTCTCTCTCTCTCTCTCTCTCTCTCTCTCCACCTGACTGCCTCTATCTGTGTCCCTCTGCTTCAAACTCTCTGTGTATGGTTACCCATCTCTGTCTCTACATGTCGCTCTCTCATATGCACACTCTTTGTTGGCTTGTTGGACCTCACAACATCTCTCTCTCTCTCTCTCTCTCTCTCTGTGTGTGTGTGTGTCTGTTGCTCTCTCGTATGTGCGCTCTTTGTTGGATTGCTGGAGCAGACAACATGGCGGTCGCTCCTCACTGATTAGTTTTGATAAAGTGGCAGGGAGGAGAATAGTACTCCCTACACACCTTACCTCGCACCTTACCGGGAAGATTTATCAATGCTGTATAACTTTGACAAAAACTTCCATGCAGTGAAATTTCAAATTTGGTCAGCAATTACTCAACTCCAGAGAGAAATTCAGCCCACAAGATTCATAAACAACGCTCGTGAACATCCAGATCGACAGAGAGATGCAACGGCACAGCCAGACACCACAGCATGAAAGTTCCATGACCACATGATTCCAATGCAAGGGAGAACAGCAAGCACATCAAGATATCATGTAGTCACTTCGAGCCTCAACGGCATAGATGCAGACCAACCCCCACACTGGCGGTGAGATCGGAGGTCACCAGCTCGGCGCAACGGGGGGGTGGTTCCACATGGTATGATTGTCATTTATGAACAGTTCTGGGTTCAAACATTGGTTCATTGTCTGGACTTTCACCTCTAATCGTCAAGGATACAATAGTCTTCGGGGCTTAACCCCAGTTTGGGAAAAATATTGAAAATGATCATTCATGGATTGTTCACAAGCATTTATCATCGAAAACAGTATCATTATCCGACTGCTCACAAACAGTCATCATTTCTCAATTTCGTGTTTTCAAAAAAAAAAAAAAAAAAAAGGACAACGTCCTTGAGATATCATACCGGCCCCAGGCAATTCAGAAATAGTTTGTTTTACAACTTTTACTCATCAACAGGTTTCATCATCATCTGGATTTGAACACGGGTCTGTATTTTCAACAGTTCATGGGTGTACCCACTGAGCTAGGCTCTTGGGTATCATTTCTCAACTTCTTCATGTACTAAATATAGTAGTTTCTCGCACACTGACACAAGGTTTCCAAAATATAATATATAATAAATTTATATATATTATATATAATATTATTGTTATTATATATATCGTCATATTAATAATAAATTGCGCGTAGTCTAAAAACGTTGTTCATCATTTGTTCATGAATGCACTCTTGGCAGGCATGTGAGGGCTACTGAAAATTTACTTTCAAGGACAGGCCTTTTAAATTGCATGTGGCTGAAGCTGTGACAATTCATTGGTGAATTTTTGTGAGTTAGCAGGAATTTTTAGTCATTGGTGAAGTTGGTCCGTAGCGGCGAGTGATGAGTTTGTGACTTGATGTAAAACAATAAAACTGTAATTTATGCGAGGCACAGGCCCTCGATTTGCCTTCCAGGGCCCCATTTCCAGTACAGTCCGCCGCCCTAAGTGAAGACAGGGCTGACCGAAGCCTACAGGCCTATTTTGGGGTCAACCCGCAACTGAGGAATTTCTGGCAGCTGTGCAGCGCCAGTTGGTTGAAGGGGACCAGGCCCTGGCTTCCTTTTATCAAATGTATCTAACCCAGGCCCTGTGCGAGATACGCAGGATGGACCCAGCACAGGCTGTGACCAGTTAGGCACGGGTAACTGTCGAAGGCCCTGGGCCTGTTTTGTTTCGACAGAGGCTCAGCCTCCCTGGGCCTACTGGAAGCTTCTGTGCTGAGGCCCAGTACCGCAACACAGCATGCAGCAGCAGGCCACTTCGATATAGGGAAGGGCCTGCTCACGCATTGGACATTCGGGCACTGGCTGCTTTGTGTGCAAGCGCTGCTGTGCTATCGCCTGCCAGGCTCACACGCTCACGGGCGAGCTGGAAGGAGCAGGCAGCCATAGCCGAGCTGCGCTACTGTATGCTGGATGGGGCGCATGGTGGTCCTTGGGTGCAAGTGGCATCTGTGAGTTGGGGAACGAGGTTGTGAGTGATACGAGAGACATACCTGGTGCTTGACGCGTGCGGCATTGGCCGACGTCTGCTCATACTTCGGGGAGCTGTTGACGTCATCAGCGGCATTGTAGTCTAGGCTAGATAGGATCTGCCATTCGTAGTCTGGGCACCGAGCGCCAGATAGGATTTCAACATTGGTTCTTCGTTGATGATGATGAGACTATTCCAGCATTGTCAATTATGAGCTTTTGGTGTGCTCTTATTTGGTGAAACTCGTGATGCAATTCTGCTTTTGGTTCGAGGTCACGACTATCTGGTCTCATGTGTATGATGCTGTTTGATTGCTGAAGTTCGCTATTGCTCATCTTCCTTGCATTTGCTAATTTATAAACAAAATCATGAGTTCAAACTTTAAATCCTGATGGGTATAATAATGTTAGCGACGGCAACCTTACTACAAAAACAAAAACAGAGAGAAAAAAAAGAAATTGAAAATTTGAAATGCCGCTTGTGTACCTGTAACTGTTTACTCTTCCCAGGAGATAGAACTCCTGGTTGAATATCTGTCTGATTCAGCACGAGTCTCGATATTCGGTACATTCATGATCCTACTGCTAGTGTTACAAATTCAGTAAGGGATTGGACGGTTGCGATCGATTCTGAGTTTCTCTACCAGTCAGTTAGGATCCCTGAGTTTTGCACAACAAGTTGGCCTGTTACGTTGGAGCGCGTGATGACAAAAGGGGTCCACAAGGACCACTTCCACTTATGCAAAGCAGGTCTTGACTCTTAAGTAACCACTTACACAGAAGGGGTCCAAAGTGACCCCTTATCCAGAAGGGGTCCAAACTTCTCTCCGAAGTGACCCTTACCCAGAAGGGGTCCAAAGTGACCCCTTATCCATAAAAGGGGTCAAAAAAAGTGACCCCTTATCCAGAAGGGGTCCAAAGTGACCACTTACCTAGAAGAGGTCTTAAGTGACCCTTACCCCTAGGGGGTGCAAAGTGACCAATTATTCAGGAGGAGGTCCAAAGTGACCGCTTAGCCCGACGGAGTTCCAAAGTGACCGATTACTCAGAAGGGGCCCAAAGTGACATTCAGGAGTCCAAACTTTCAAAGTAACCACTTATCCAGAAGCAACCCAAAGTGACCACTTATTCAGACAAAAGCATGGTAGTCTGGGTGCCTACGGCCGACGCCTACCATAGCCTGTAGGCGCGCCTTCCGGTCGAGCCGACCCGTAGGCGGTCTGCCTACCGGTCGGCACACTGCCTTGCACTTTTTTTTTCCTTCTCTGAGAACATGGCTGTTCTGCGCTTGAGCAGAACAACCCAAATCCGAAATATATTTTTTGTTTTGAGGGGGGTGCAGGGGGCGGGGGGGTGGGTCGGGGGGGGATGAGGGAGTTTCAAGGGGTGTTTGGGGGTTGGGGGAGTTTCAGGGGGTGATTGGGGGGTGTTTGGGGGGTGTTTGGGGGTTGTTTGGGGGGTGTTTGAGGGGTTTTCAGGGGGATTTCAGGGGGTGTTTCCGAGGTTCTCTGGGGGAGGTTCCGGGTGTGTTTGGGGGGTGTTCGGGGAGGCCGACAGGGGGAGTTTGGGGGTTCGAGAACAGAAGCAAAGAGGGGGTGTTTGTGGGGTTCAGAAGTAAAGAGGGGAACCAACGCAGGGCTAGACACCAACGCTCTCCAAAAGTGAGAGCAGCAAAATGGTGAGAAGTGCTTCTCTGCTCTCACTTTTGTGGAGACTACAAAGCTTCCCAGGGCCCAGCCTCTCCTGAAAGTCGGTCGGTGAGGCCCACGGCACAGGCCGGGCCCGCCGCCAAATTTTTCTTTCTCAACTGCAGGGTGCCTACAGGTCGCCAACCGGTCGGCACCGACGGCACCTACCATAGGCAGGTCGGCCGCCTACAATTCCAGGGGCGCCGGCGGTCGGCCAGACTACCCTGAACAGTGTGAAGAGTCAGCGCACAGCCAGAGGGAGAACCATGTCAAGATCCAAAGTGTCATTTTTTATCAGAAAGCTAGAGGGAGGCAGTTGCAAAACCATGGTAGAGGAATGTACCATTCCCCTAGGAGAATCACCATAGAAATTCATGATACGGTCCGACAGGCTTCCATGATTTGTTCCAATGCGCATTGCGCGACCAAGTTTCTTGCACTTCTCCACTAATGGCACGAAAACCTGGAGCAACGTACACAGCACAAAAGACAGCAGCCCACACAAATCAGTCTGTGAAGCACTTGCGGTTTACTTGGCAACACAGACGTCTACATACCCAGCACACATGGTTGAACGGTACCCACACGCAAACCGTTCATAATCCTTTGATATCAACAGGAGCTGACGAGGCATGATGTAAACTACAAATGTGTTGACATCACATGATATAAACACAGACGTCTACATACCCGGCACACACATGGTCGAACGGTAGCCACACGCAAACCGTTCATAATCCTTCGATATCAACAGGAGCTGACGAGGCACGATGTAAACTACAAATGTGTTGACATCACATGATATAAACACAGAAGGCAAACACACATAACTGCAGAGACACAGGAACAGTCAAAACATCTAGCCACAGTGGTCTGTCTGGACATCACTCAATCTTTTCAACACATGAAGCAAGATTGGAAACGTAAATGTTTAATGGCCAATCACAAACAAGGACTGTATTTCTTTCGTAGCCAATCAAAAGAGGCAAAAATGAGAGAAGAATATTAGCTAAAAAAAAAAAAAAAAAAAAAAAAAAAAAAACAGGGGCTGTGAATGTTTCCGAAGGCAAAATAACAAACAGTGATGTGCTGCTCTACTTTGCGGTCTGCAATGAATTGCAGGTTTCCGGCGGATTGTACATGGACTAGGTGTGACCGTGTTTGCTATTTCCTTGTTTTGAGCCTTGTGGTACTTGATCCTGTTGCTAGCTTTGAGCCCTATTGGGCTTGATCCTTGGATCTATCACTACCGTCTTCACCCGAATACAACGCCCGGTCATTATAGCTGTATTTGGCACAACTGTCAGCCCAGATACGGCGATAATTACCGGGCGTTCTATTCGGGTGAAGACGGTAGTAGTCTCTATTTAGCAGTCATAGGCTTTTCAGCCTCTGTTGTGTTGTCCTTTTCGGCTCTTCTAGAAACTGGTAGGCCCGTAGGCCTTTTCTTGTGCTACATTCCCCCTGTTGCCAGTTTCTGGTCTAGATGCATGTAGGTAGATATTGACTGTTGGCCCGTAGATCTGCACTGTTTGGACGGTCAATTAGGAGTTGCTGTTTGGTCTGTCTCCGGTCTAGGAAAGTCGGGCTGCAGTACGCTGTGCCCGACTAGTTTCGGGCATTTTCTCATTTTTTCGCTGGTGGAAGGACGAGGAAAACAAGCAGCGCTATTTCCAGGGCAGGCTCTTTGTCTTCATAAGATTGGTGGGCAGCCATAGCTGGGGTTGCTCAGCTACTGAAGGCAGCACAGGGTGATCGTCTTCCCTCGGCGCTGGTTTCCTCATCGTGGTGGTGCGGTTTGGGGGTTGGCGGTGCTGCCATCTTCAGCAACTTCAAAGTTCAAAGGCAGCCATATCCACTTTCTTCATCAAACTGATGGATTTATCTTCTTCTTTATCGAATACTGGTCTTCTTCTCCATGGCCCAGCTACGGGCGCTGCTTGATGGAATGCGCTTTGGATTGTGTCATCTGATAGGCGCCGCCAGATCAGCGCCTGCGACCTGCAGACTTACAGGGTCTGGACCCCATGATAGTGGAGTTCAATACCCGGGGTTTGGAGGTGGAAGGAGGGAGTTGAAGACTCCATGAAAATCCGTCGACTGTTCTTGTGGAATTGAACGGGGGTGTACGTTGAAGCCGTGGTTGAGTTTCTCGGAAGCATGAGCCTTGATTGATTGGAGGAGCCTTGTGATTGATTGGAGGAGGAAGGGGGAATTCAAATTGGAAATTCGTAATTCAATTTTACTTTACATGTATATATTTTGGGCTTCCGGTGCATACCACTCTCCGGCCTTGTGCGGATTTGCCTCCTCCAAGTCTACTTTGCAATTGCATGCATGCATGCGAATGTGTGACACTGTGAATTCATTGTGGATGTAAGTTCAGTCAGGCACATAACAGTTGGTATCGGAGCTGGACCACGTGCACCTGGCGTCCATATCCCGTGGCCACTTCCTCTTCGGCCGGCGGGTGGAGAAAGAGAGTGTGTGTTCAATTGTCTTCAGCAGTTGACTGAGGTGGAGAGAGGTTGTGAAGGGTGGTGCGGCGTGGAGGAGAGAATTGTGCGATCACAAAAAAAAAAAAAAAAAAAAAAAAAAAAAAAAAAAAAAAAGAAGAAGAAGATAAAGAAAAAGAAAGAGAACGGAGAAAATTATTTGGTACGGCGAGAGAAGTGCCAAGGGTTTGATAGCCCTAAGTGCCACTGACTCGGCAACGGGCGTTGACCGCCACGTCAGCAGCCAGCACTGGAGGAGGCTCTTCACGAGCAGAGTGAACATCAGTGGAATCTACGTTTGGGGTTTGATTGGACACTTTATTGGCATGCTGCCGTAGGCTCTGATGCGCTGACGTCTGCCTGACTTGCGCACAAGATCGTGCCGCACGTACTGTTTCCGGTCCAAGTGCACTTGGACCGGAAAGGTTCTCCAATCAAGACTGTGACCGAGTGAGTTCGTTCCGGCGACCTGTCGCTCTGGGATCAGTCTGCCCGTCTGTCTGTCAGTTAGCTTGTCAGTCTGTCAGCTTTTAGTCTGTAAGTGTCAAAGGGAAAGATGAAATTGGTCAGTCTGCTGTATGGTGTGCTGACGTCAGACCGTTGGACGGAACTTTGACCACTGTTAACTTGACCGTGCTGTTGCAGAGTGCATTCGCACGTCCTGTCGCTTCTGTTTATTGCAGCCTGCCTGCTATCGCAGGCTGTGTTGTCAGTCCAGTCCACGTCAGTCTGTCCATTGGGTCTATCTGCTGCTGTCACAGCGGTAAAGATCGTCAGTCTGTTGTGTCAGTGAGTCAAAGGGATCAGTTTACAGCCAAGCAGTCTGTCACCATGCCTACACTCAGCAGCCTGCAAAATCTGCACATCTGCGTCGTCTGAGTTTGTTTCTCTGAGTAAATTTATTCTGCTGATTTTCACCTTCTCGTCTACTAATCAGTGCCGTTTTGCCG